TGCAGGTCTGTACATAGATGTTCATACCTTGGCCATATCCCAGCACAACTGCATTACACTCGAACAAACCGACTCGGCGAACGGAGAGGCAGAGAAGGTGCAGGGGGGGGGGGCTCTTACCGGGGAACTCGCTCTGCCTGACTGACAGGAGGCGCTAAAGGGGGGCATATTAAATCTACTGTTCCTGCAGCTGAGTGAGAACGCTCCGTTTCAGGGTTTTCTGATTCACACGAGCCACCCCTCAGTATTAAGCATACTTCTGTAAAGCTCAGCGATACAGCAAAATCTAGCTGGACATCGAGAAAGAAAACTAACAAGTCAACACACATGGATAGCATAACATGTCACAAATATTTCCTATTTTGTTGTACAAATACTTCTCTTGTTCTGGCATTTTTGGCAGATGCAGATCCTTGCATTTAGTTTAAAGGCAATTCCAGCATTGTGGATTTTATACTCACATTGGCAAACAAAATGCCTTGGAGGCTGGACGAGCCAAGTATCAATGGGACAATTTGCGCATCTTTTCATGTAACCTCTTGGGGTTTTTTTTGCAGCAAACAAAACTTTGCATGGAATTGCCCTGAATTTATCACTGGTTTTTAACAGCTGAGCCCACAGATTTAAAAACAAATCACTGTTATGAATGGTGGACTTTGCACCTTAATGAGATAAAGGAGCCACAGCCGCTGTTTAACCCCAGACGGGAGGCCAGGCCCCATCCAGCGGGGCTCCTCGGCCTCTACGGGTTCATACCTTGGCGCTCTGCAGGATCTTTTTGTTGCCTCTATGCAGTTCGAAGGTTTCCTGGAAGTCCAGATTGGTGGAGGCCAGGGAGATGGTCAGGTTGACTCCGCCCATGTATGACAGGATGGCATATTCTGATAAAGCCTGCAGGGCCACGCATGTGTCCTGGAACATCAGAGAGAAATGAAAATGCAGGTGAACAACAAAAAAATAACACCCATCCATCCATCCAATCCTTTATCCAGGACAGGGCTGTGAGGAATCTTATCCCAGGAAGCAGAGCAGAGGGGACACCCCAGGCAAGATGCCAGCCCATCAGAGGACACACACACACACACACACACACACACACACACACACACACACAATATGGATAATTGGGATGCCACAAACAGGAAGTGCATCTCTTTGGACTACAAGAGGAGCAAAGAACATGCAAACTCTACACAGAGACTGGCGGCAGGACCCCCAGTGCTGGGGGAGCGAAGGGAGAGTGCTGCTCTGCCAGAATGTTATATACTTCCTGTACTCTGTTAATATGTTTATAGTGCAAAAAGTGAGTGGTACAGGGCACAAGGATGAGGGACACCCTGGATAGGTTGCCAGTCCATCACAGGGTACACACACACAAATGGACATACACACACTCAGACACACACACACACATTTGTATTCATATTTTTGTGGGACCATCCATTCATTTCTATGGGCATAACCCTAATCCCAGCAATGACGACCTTAACCCCTACCCAGCCCTAACCTTAACCATAAGTAACCAAACAAAATATAAGACTTTTAGATTTTGATTGCAGTCACACATTTTTATAAAATTGAGTTTCCCCTTATCGGGATTGATTGACACATCATCACAAACATGAAAGGTTTTTATCACATTGTGGGGACATTTGATAAACCAACCCCCCCCCCCCCCTGACACACACACACACACACACACACACACACACTATGGGCACTTGGTCTGTATATTACAGCCCTTCACAATTTTTTTAACATTTTAAAGTGTAATATATATAACAGAAAGTTTTCTCTGTAACAAACATCGCTTTGTGCGATACTAAATCAATCAAAATAAAGTGTGCGATTAGCACATAGGAAGTGCAGGCCTGTGAAGAGGAAGCCATTGTCTTCGCAGGGAATGAGCAAACACACAGTGCGGGGTGGGGGGGTCACCTGTGTAGAGGAGAAACCACCAAGGGAATTCCTCTGCTGGGAGAGCCACTTCACCACGGGCAGGGCGGACGCCACGTCCCCCAGCAGCGAGTAGGTGAGCAAGCCGTAGGCGGTCATTTCAACCTCCGCTGACACGACTGCGGGAGAACGGACACCGGAGCGAGGGTCACTGGCGGCGTGACTTAGAGCCGTGCTGAATTAACACAGAACTTTGGTCGGTTAAATACAGAGAAAATGGAGAGTGAGGCGTCTGTTCCTGCATCTTTACACTGCAAATGCAAGCGATTATGTTTCACTATAGAAATAAAAGCACACTTGCAGGCTTCCTTAATTGGCTGGAAATACATGCGTATGAAGGCAGGCAGCACAGGGAGGCTCTTTGTGGCACCTGACTGAGACAGGCCGTCACTGAAGCCCATGAAGGTGTCCTCATCTGTCACCGTGCTGCCAGTCAGGCTCCAGTGGGTGAAACCATCTGGGGGGGGGGCAGGGTAAGGAGAGACGGAAAATCAAACATGAGGTGCAGGGAATGACCACGTGTAGACGGCACTGCAGAAGAAAACTCGCAAATCCAAGCGGGGTAGAGGGCTACAGCAGACCTCCTAGGAGACTGGACGCACACACACACACACACACACGCACTGCATACCCTGTGTGATAGCCATGTGGTTGAGCCGCCGCAGGGCGAGGGGGGCATAGGGGCTGCGTAGAAGCGCCAAGGCGTAGGCCGACAGAGCCGCGGTGTACGGGTCATCGGCGGAGTAAGCGTTAGCCTCCAGGAAGCCCCTGGCCTTGGATACTGCCATCTTCTCCTCCTGGCAGAGAGCAGAGAAGGCACAGAGAAGGCTAATTCCAACAGGAAGGGCTCGTCCCCGCAGGGAACCAGGCAATATCCAGAGCTAATTCAGCATGTGACACACAACACACATCACCTTAAGAGGCCTTTAATCGACAATCACCAAACAGAGCACCAATGGGCCCATTAAGCAGAAAAGAGTCAGTGAAATTGCACACGCAACTCTGCAATAACCAATGTTTGTGTGTGTGTGTGGGGGGGGAACCAAATGTCCCTCACAATGTAATAAAAACCTGTTATTTTGACATCGTGGAGACCATTTCTTGGGTCCCCACAAAGATCTGTGTATGCAATCAAAAAACAAAATGCCAAAAGTCTCGTACTTTCTTTGGTTACTTCTGGTTAAGGTTAGGGCTGGGTAGGGGTTAAGGTTGTCATGCTGGGATTGGGGTTTTCCCCATAGAAAGGAATGGAGAGTCCCCATAATGATATAAGTATATACCTGTGTGTGTGTGTGTGTGTGTGTGTGTGTGTGTGCGTGCGTGCGTGCGTGAACAAGGATGATTAAGAAGCAGAGGTCAAAGGTTAGATGTCTGTAAATGAGATTCTGGTTTTCAACAGCAATGAAAAACATTTGCAAGTAAAATTCTGAGATGCCCTGCAGCACTGAGGGTCAGAGCCAATTATAACAATTAGATCGTGCGAGTCTGGAGATGGCTTCCATCCTGACTTCACAAGGCAACCTGCTGCAATTCGAAATCCTCTAACAATCCGTCCGTCTATTCATCCATCCACATCTTCATATCGCCATATCAGTAGTAAGTTTGGTCACTGACTGCTTTAAGATGCCCTTTACTTTGCTGATCTAGCCTGTCCTGATTTATCTCGCAAGATAAAAAATGAGCCACTGTGCTTAGTTTCCAAACTTTCTATTATCAAATATGATCCTAATAAACTTTCCAACAGCCAGTAAAGCTGTCAGCCATATTTTTTCCCCGATGGATGGATGGATATTTACCTTCTGGTTAGCTATCTAGTGTGATTTGTGTTATTTTGTTGGAAGACTTTGAGATATTTTCAAGTGGAACAATTTAACAGAGAATCAACACAAGGTGCAGCTTGGAGCTCGGATTCATAACCAAACAGCCTACAGAATGTTTAAATGTTACTAGCAATCCCACATTTAAAAACAGAAAACAACAATATAGCTGCTAAAAGCTTCCTAATTCCCCATAACTCAGGAATAAGTCACCTGTCTTTAAAATTTTATTTTGAACTTTGGTCAAGCTACTCAAATTATCTTCCAAACTATTTACCTCGCCCGAGGCATGTTAAATTGGCACTCCCGTCTGTCAGGACCATATGTTACAACTAGAGTTACAGCTATAACAATGATAAGATCCATCCGGTCAGATTTGTTATTTCTAAAAAATGATGAACATACCAGAGGATCGAAGAGAGGAACAAACCCCCATAAAAACTGATGGAATGGGAATGTAAACAAGGTGTGAGCTTTGCAGGCTTGGACAGTCCCGCAGGGCCTTCTGTATAAATCTTAGGATACGGCTGGTGAGGATGATTGAATTTCCGACAACTTAGCATAATGGAATACTGCAGAAGTGAATCCAGAGCATGTCCTCTGTGGATCGGGGAATGCAAGCTGAAAATCGGGGCTCGTCAATCTTTAATATGACCGTCAGTGAACTCGTGACACCTGAAGGTCGCCTCAGTCCAGTTCTCAAGGCGTACAGCACTGACCTGGATGCCCCGAACCTGATCAGAGCTAAGGGCGAAAGTCCAGGCCAGGTTTAGCAACCTGCCCCGAGGGAATATCAGAGTTTTCTGGGGGGAGCCTGAGAGGTGAATCCCTTACCTCAGTAGATATCCCCGTCTCCAGGAGGGCCGTCACCACATATGCAGTCAAGGAAATTTTCCCATGAATCCCACCCTTCAAGAAGATGTACATGTGGGTCACTCATGTGTCACTGGCCAAGCTGCATTTCTATGGCTAACAGCAAAGAACCTGGCTCTTTATCACTCTACAGCAGGTTTCCCCATCCGGTCCTCAGGGACCTACAGACAGTCCATGATTCTGCTCCCTGCTAGGGAGCTGGGAGGGAGCAAAAACGTGGACTAGCTGAGGGTCCCCAAGGACTGGATTGGGACACACTGCTCTACAGTATAATCTGCAAGGGCATAGGATTGGGTATGGATGGTAGGGACATATTATTACAGAAATAAATAACTTGCATGATAAGTTCAACCCCCTCTGCCACCTCAAAAGCAAAAGCGGCTTGATCCTCCCGCGTGCAAATCTGTCACGTAAATAACATATGCAGTCGGTGGCTTTCGCTGATGCTGAATTCACAATGAAACCGAAACTAAAATCCGGATCTCAGAAGCGAAAGGAGCACAGAGAACGAGAGAGAGAGTTAAGAGGGCAGGCGACTGCGGGCAGGTTTCATCCTGACAACAGGTGAGCATAACGTGCTGAACAGTCACAGTCAGTGTTGGGCATTCCAGGTCCAGAAGCTACAAATCCAGACCAAGATTTTGTTTCAACCAGCCAGTTGAGCATAAAAACTCAGTCACAGAGTTCTCAGCTGGTGGGTACAAACAAAATCTTGGTCTGGATTTTTACTCTCTGGACCCGAAATGCCCAATACCGAATACGATTCAGTAATGCACAATAGGTTTGAGGGGGTTGATCTGGGAACCAGGCACACAATTTTGTTTTTGGTCCAAAATGCAAGTGTGTTTTGGGGGACGGGGGTTCGGGCTGATTTGGTCCCTACCCATGTTAAAACCGAACTTCCTTAACAGAATTCTCTGTTTGCTGCAGTATAACCAGACTGTAAAAAAGATCAAATCATCAGGCAGATTGGCTGTTCCACTATCAGTTCTCCTCCCCATCATGCATCTGTCCTCTGATTGACGGCGCCCAGGAGAACCTGGAGGTCTTTGTTGAGGATCCTGCCCATAGCTGGGAAGGAGCCCTCCTCTCGCTGGTGTCTGATCAGCCAGGCCTTGGCAGCCTGCAGCTCCTCCGGGTCGATGAAGATGAACCCGCGTGACTGAGAGAAGGACTTCAGGACGAAGGCCGTCAACCTGACAAACGGGGCGGAGCACAGATTGACACTGTGGTACGTGACAGCTGCTCCGAATAAAGTCAGATTCTGCGTGGCTGGGACGGCCCAGCGACATAGCGGAGTGTAAACAGGGGACACGGGATCACATTCCTCATCCTGACAGAATCCACACACAAGACAGCACCACAGAAAAAAATAAATAAAAACATGACGACACCACAGTGGGCTAATAAACACCTTAATAATCAGATAACAGCCCCCAGAGGAACCTAGGAGTTTGGCAAGGAGTGTTAATTACAACATTATATACCATGGCGGAATTATCCTCAGAGCGGCCAAGCAATGATGCAAGGTACTCGTGAAAGAAAGGAAATAAATGTTCTTTAAATTATATACATAAAACATGTATTTTGAGACTTTATAGCAGGAGCCAGGCAAAAGAGGTGGGGGGGGGGGTGCAGCATAAACTGGAGTATTAAATCTTCTCTAGCTGGACCCTGGATGTTATCTTCCCCCTGGGGGAGGGCAGGAATGGAGCCTTGAGTCTTAAGGAATTTTTATAATGTTAAAGTAATATTGTGTCACTGGCTTTAAGAGCCCAGTCCTGGGAAGTGTAAAGATGATTTAGTGCACAAGGAAACACAGGAGACACCCCAGCGTCCCATGCAAGTCTCCCACTGCGCCAGTGCCTCTCGCATACCCTCCACTGTAAACAAGGCGCTGAAGTCTCCCACTGCGCCAGTGCCTCTCGCATCCCTCCACTGTAAACAAGGCACTGAAGTCTCCCACTGCGCCAGTGCCTCTCGCATCCCTCCACTGTAAACAAGGCACTGAAGTCTCCCACTGCGCCAGTGCCTCTCGCATCCCTCCACTGTAAACATGGTCTGCTGAAGTGATTTTGAATGGAATTCCTTAAGGAGGTAGATTTTTAATATATATCTTTTTGTCATTATTCAAAACAATCTGCTTGTATTTGGCATTTAACGGCCTTTTGACCAGCTGCAGTCCATTTGCCGTAAAGAGACAGCAATGCTTAAGGGATTAGGGAATCACAACGGTTTTCTGGAAAAAAAAATAAAAATCCCCTGTGAATGATGAATTGCACGGCATTCCAATTCCCCTGGCTACCAGTCGTTTTGTCATGCACTTTTAATATTTTCAAGCCGTGTGGTGGAAACCAGTGAAAAGCGACTCGTTTGGAAGACAAATTATAATAATTAAGAGTAGCTGGAATAGCCTCTAGTCTGTGTTTGCGGGGTTTGCATGTCCTCCATCTCCCAGAGCTGAAAAACATGCCCTTAGGTGAGATGATGACTTTAAGTTGCCATAATTGTGTGATTGTGAATGCGAGTGAATCCCCTGCTATAGCGTCCTGTGTCTCCTGGGACGGACTCCGGGCCCCAGGCGGATAATTTGCAAAGACGGATGGATGGAACAACAGTCAAGTTGAGTATGTATGACAATCCAGGTGTAAACTGCATGAATGCAAACAATAAACCACCCTGATCCGACTGTCTTTTTCCAGACTGACTTTACCGATGCTAAGAAGTCGTGTGACCAGGTAAGTTAGTTGATGGCTTGATGTTACAAAAGTTCAGCGGCCTGAGAGTGGAGCTGCTGTTGTGCCAAGGTACTTAAGCGGAGTTAGTAGAACAACTTTCCCCATGACCAGCCTGGATCGCACCACTTGTGCGGTGTGACGGGTGGGGGGACAGCGAGCTGGGCTGATTGGCTGGGAGCTAGCGGATAACACCAGCATGTGGCACTCATTGGAAGCAGATGCCCCCGGTATGTGGCTTATGCCGTCAGAGGCGCTGCCAGCTCCATTAGTGCCCCAAGTGCCCTACATTTCTTGACAGATAAATATGTTCCCCCATTCTGTGGGAAGAGCGCATGGGTGGCCCACAAAACTCCTGCACTCCCTAGAGCAACAAGGCCTGCTGAGAGTGTTTAGTATCTCCAAACTCAGGTGACAGCCGGTTCCCCATTCCTCTGCTGCCTTTTAATAAGGAGCTACAGCTTTTCCCGGTACAGCTTAACGGAACGACTCACATTATTACGCCGCCCTCACTGTTGTTGCAATAAAATATAACCTACGCTAATGACTACCTGTGGGCCGTAAAAAAAAAAAAAGGTAGCCTGTTCTCGAAAATTCAACTCGTCGCTAACGCAAGAATAGAGCAGCGTTTAATGACAGCCGGCTCACGGGCATCGACGTCCGCTAGTGCCGCGCTGCCCAAAGGCGCTAACGCTCACGGAAGCTGTGGTGCCGTAGCGGCGGATGTCTTCCCGATGCGCATTTTCCTTCACCACAACTTTGCTTAGCACAACTTCCTAAATATATCCTGAGCCACTAGTGAGCGGGGAGGCCAGACACAGGTCAGTACGTACAGGCGAGGAACGGCGAGCCGCGGAGGGCTAACGCTAACCGCTAACCCTCATGAACGCTAAGGCGCTGGTAGTGAAGGGCAATCCCAGGCCTGACGTAACGGAGGTACCGCCATGCCGACTCGTCCCACGGCGGGGGCGATCCCGCCTTTGCCCCTTAACAGCAAATAAATCATTCCAGCCCCAGTCGCCCGTGTCACAGAGCTAATTACAAGTTCGCGTTTAATACTCTGGAGTTTACTTAGCCCTGTGTTTTGCAGCGAGAGCCCCCATTAAATATAATAACACCTCCCCTGGCTAATAAATCGCTTAGGCACATGCTTCACCATGAAGTCATTCGGTTCCGCTTCAGTGTCCGAGGAGAATACAGAACTTTCCTGACCCGGTTTATGTCAAAGTTCCAGGTATTATGAAATACATACAACATCCTGCTCAGGTGTGTAAACAACGTCTTAAAACAACAGTTTGAATGGAAAAAGAAGATGGCAACGCGAAGTCAGGAGACCTAGCAAACAGTAGTGCACCAGATGTGCTAACAGTCTAAAGCTGTATGTTACTACTAATCTATTATTAAAATGCAAATTCTACGTTTTTTAGAACACAATGCATTAAAATCTAAAAACTTACTTGAAACTTCATTTTCCTGTTGCTACACTGAATCTTGTAAGAAGTCTTGGATAAAGGTAGCGTGATCAGATAATCCATATCAGGGAGGACACTTTGAGTTACTTCAGGTTTTTACAAACTACCTTAAATCTGAAAGGCTCCTGGGCTTGGCTAAATAGTTCAGTTCTTCTTGCGCTTCAACTGGTTTGTCTGTTTCACATTAACATTAGTGACACGTGCATGATTATAGGAGACTGACCAATCAGCACATAGCAAGAACTCAAACTTGAAATCCAGGTAATTTAATAGAAATGTTAGTTTTCAGATCACTCCTCATAGTGCCCAAGCCGACATAGATTGCCTGGTCACCCTAATAAACGAGCTGGTTAAGCTTCTACTCCTGCCAATAACAACATTCCCTAACCAATCAGATGTGGACGTAGGTAGGATTAGACCAACCACATGCTGCCGGATGAGTCCCTCTCGCCAAAGGCGCTGTAGGAGCCATCCTGCCGCTTATAGGTTAGCTGTCTCTGGTAACCTACAGCAGGAGGAGAACCAGTCAGGTTGTACCGTTGTGCAAAGTGTCAGAATCGGGGCTTGTGTGTGCGGCCATTTGAAAGTCCAGGCTGGGCTTTCTGCTACCTTGCAGCAGGTAGTCTGTGGCCTCGGCCGCGACCTCGGGGCTCAGCTGCTGGGTCTTCTGCAGATACTTCAGCACGAAGACGTTGGGTGCGAAGTGGATCATGTTCTGCTCACCGCAGCCGAAGGGGAGCCGCAGCAGGTTGTCCAGGTTGTTGAGCGTAGGACCCATAACATCCCCTGTCAGAAAGTCATCAGCCATGCCATGCCCAGCTCTACATCATAACACGCCACGATGGTGTCACTTATAACACTGTAATCTAGGCTTTCTTAAGCTACTTCCTGGCTGACAATCAATGCCATCTCGCCTCCCAGGACAGATTACAGTAAACGCTCCTCCAAATCACACCCTAGTCAGTCCGCTGTCTTTGCCGTGCCTTGCCATTTGGGGGCAGAACTCCTGCTGGCATCTGGCAGATCTCAGTATATAAAAGAAAATCAAGATACTCTGGCCAATTTACATTTTCCGGTTCTCCTTTAATGTGAAGAGGCTCTTCATCTGGAGGACTTCTGGTGCATATTAGATTCAAACTGTATACTAAACGTTACAACCAAGCCTGAATGCAAAAGACAAAATTTGTCTGTTACCAGTAACTGAATCATTTGATACAGGCCATAGATAAGTCGTCATCTGGCCGGGTGACGGAGTGACAGGTATGTTGGAATCCTCACCGATCATGGAGGCTGTGGCCCTCTCCGATCCAGGCACCACATTGTGCGGGACCCCCAGGGTGAACGCCTCGTTGTGGTTCTCGTCCACATCCTCCTTGCGCCAGATCTTGAACTCCCCCACGGAGCCCCAGCCGGTGGAGAATCCCACGTGCCGCACCTGAGCCAGCAGGGCCCCCCCCCACTGCATGATCACCGTGTCGTTGGAGGGCTGCACACCGTGGCCAACCTGCCATGGAGAGGTGGGCCACAGTTACCGGCTGTCCTCTACTGATCCACCTCTGAAGCAGCAGTGCCGGACGGCAGGGCCCGTTATCCGGGCCTGAGGGAGACAGGCAGGCCTGACAGCGCAAAGCAGCAATCGGTGTGTAGACCAGCCTGCTGGAAAACCCGGCCTGCTGCTGGGGTAGTGAGGCCCCCTGTCCCAGCCAATGGAGCGGAAGCCTAACAGGATATGACAGCTTCCAGGATACAGTAGGCCGCAGCTGAACAAATACACATGCATGACAGCGAATCGGAAAGGATCCACCACAGCCATCATTCCAGGCAATAAAAAGCCATCGGAAGCCAATTAGACTTTGTATAAAAAACCGTCTGATCCACACTGGGATTTACAAGTTGCAGGCTCCTTGTAAAAGCTGGTGTCATGCTCTGCCAAATGCAGCCCACACCACCTTATTATTTCAAAGACCCTTTTGAAAGTGAACCGGATTTACAGGTTACCGCTTTGAACTTCATTCACCATTTAGTTAAACCCAAGAACACTTAATACTCAAAAAGGATGTTGGAGACAGTTCTAAAAGCTTCTTGTCGCTGTAATTAATTACATCCGACTATGTTCTGCTCAGTATCGTTTCTTTGTTGGTCCCTTCGGTGCGGCGTGCGTGTTTTTTCCGCCGGCGGAAAGCCGGTGACAGCCAATCGGCACGGCTCGGCGAAAGTGATCATTGACATCAGTTCCCACACCTCCTTCCACATGAGCTCACAGCCCTGGTGCCAGCAGTCGGTGCCAAGGCCTCTGCTGGGCACGAGAGGAAGTCCACCAATTCTCCAGCAGCCTCTTTGGCGACCAAATTTCCGACCTGGAAGGATGCTGTCTGGCTCATCTTTCCGTCTTAGTTTTAATCCCTAATAACTCGGGTAGGGAGTCAAATCGGGTCAAATCGAGATGATTCTTTGGATTATTTTACTGCCCCCTGGAGGACTAATAAATCCCAAATTAAATATATTGTCATCTGCAGTCTTCGACTCTGAAGTAGATCTGGTGCTTACCGCTAGAGTCGTGCCACAAAAATGAGACAGACAAGATTTGTCATATAATTAAGCCTTTTTCTTTGCATCCAATGAATGAAACTTACCAATCACAGACTGGGAGGACTGGGGATAAATATCAAACTGGGTGGGCTTTTCTAATGGATACAGTAATCATGCTACATAGCTTAGACTCCCCCAAAAACCACCGGTGTTAAGCAAGCCACTTGAATTCGAACTGAAAAAAATGCCTTTCCTGTTGTGTCTCCCCTACAGGTCAAATGATGACGTTTATGTCTGTCGTATCATCTGCAGAACTTTATGGCGGAACCATATAACGATATTCTGAGTCATACAAGAGAATATAAAACATTTCCAGTTTCGTCTTCATTAGTTCTTGATTGTGTTTACTGTGTTCCCTCACCATCACGCTGAAGAATAGACCGCAAAGGGCAAATGTCCGTTGTTACTAATTATTAGCTATTATCACTCCAAGATTGTGTTGTCTGCTCCCCAAATACACACCACCCTCGGGGCAGATCTGAGTCCGCCCACTCCGTTCCTCACCTGGACCACGCCGCCCTTCCAGCTGATCCAGAAACTGCGGAACTCGTCCCAGGAGAGGATGCCGGGTGTGACGGCGCTGGCCACCGGGTCGCCCATCTTTCCCAGCGAGATCCAGGAGCGAGTGTTCTGCCTACCGCCCAGCACTATCTCTACCATCTCGGCGCTGTCGTGGGGGCTGGCCGACAGGGCGAAGTGGGCGTCGTTGTGGGTCTTCACCGCCGCCTCGAAGTGCGTCATGCGTCCAGGCTTCTTCACGTACTGGTACTCGTATTTGTTGGGTGTGGAGATGTGTATCCTTTCTGAGAGCGGCAGAGAGGTCCACCATGACGAGCCTGAAAGGGCCCCCTGTACGCACTTTTAGGGCACTTTCTGCTAAACACTCATTTTGATATTGGCATGTCACTGTGTTATTTTGGAAATGCAATGTTTTCATGTAAACACAGGCTTTCCCAAGCGCTAAATTTAAAACAGGTAGCTACTATGACACTCATTTTCACTTTAGTAAATGCAGGTTTGACGTAAATAGAGAGAAGTGCTAATATTTGATCTCATTTTCACCCAGGTACAGTGAAAGGTATTACAAGAACAGGAGAGTAGCCAAAGACTTTGACTGCTTTCATTCAAAAGCGCCTGGTGACTTCTACAGCATGTCCCGCCTCAGCCAGAACAGCGGCTGCTTTTAAACAGACTATTTCGTACCTGCTCTGCACATAAAATGTGTTTCCCTAAAGTGTAATCATAAACAATCTTCTTTAAACTTTTTACTGGAAAGGGCATTCTAAAGTTCACTCGTAGAAATTCATAATCGCGGTAGTACTTGCCAGTTGAGTGCGGGAACATATTATGAGGGACTAACAGATCGACACAGTCCGATTGAGCTTGAAAGCTCAGCAAACAATGCCAATTTTGAGAGGATGTTTGCCAGGGCAGGGCATTACTGACCGTTGGGGCAGAAGAAGACACTGTAGGTGTATTCCCTGGGTACGCCCTCTGGCTGTAGGGAGGAGACACAGCACAGTTCATTTTCACCACGTGCATCACTGTAGTGACATTAAGCATTCTTATTGCACATGGTCCAGGTGGACAGGCCTGCACTGCTCCCCCCGTGCCCCCCATGCACCTCCACCAGCACGCTCCGGCGCACAAAGTCCATGCCGATAGGTGTCCTCCGGTCCTCCGTCTCCTCAGGTCCTCTCCCTGGTCTGGTGGCCTGGAACGCATCGCTGCAGCACCCTGGTTCACTGTAGGCCACGGCACGTGCTGCAACAACAGCGCGTCTGCACCATTACTCACTATTAGTGTTTCTCGATTGCTTTGGCACATTTCCTGAAACATTCGTAACATTCTGAAGACTATAAGAGCATTTCTCAAAACAATTCATGCATATAGCACAACAATATGGTTTAGGTGCAAAAGCCTGTAACTTAGCCAAAACAATTCTTATGTCTCAAAGGCAAATAATTCCACCAGTGTCAAAATGCTTAGATACACTGTCAGTATGTCAGTGTGAGTATGCTCCTGAGCTCCACAATTCTGAATGATAGACGGTTTCCACTCTCTCATTAGTCTCATTAGACTGATAATTTTTTTTAGCAAACTGTTACTTATTCATGTCAAAGACACCAGTTTCTACAATGCAAGGCTTTACATTACAGTTTGTAACGTTCACTCACATGCACATGTAACTTATTCAGATCACCAAACACAGCACAAAAGCAAACAAAAAACAGTCATGCAACACTGTATGACAACGATACGAAACGGCGATACAAGAACAAGAGAAAAACAACAGAATCGTGAACTATGGGAACCAAAAACACAATAATGCTGTTTCACTGCAATTTATGGAATATATCATATTCACAACTTGGTTAACTGTTTAGGTGTAAATGTTGATGTTTAGGTGTAAAATTATTACAGTGGGAATCTGAATGATTTATTTTGACTAACGCGACTGATTTTTGGGCTAATTCTTATAGTATAGCTAATCCTATAAGAAGCAAAACTAAATCATTCGTGAATGAATGAAAACAATGAGAAATAACATTCTGTTGCGAGACATCGATTTAAGGGTGTGCAGGTTTACATATGTAGTTATGAGAAGATCCATTTTCATTTGAGAATTTGTCCAAAACAATTAACACCGTAACGAAGTTTAACAACTGTTTCAGTATGCTTATAGCAGCAATACTAATTAATAACAGCAATAATACACAGTAAATATACTATAAATAAAATATTGATTATATCATGCAGGGGTGTAGCCTTCTGGTTACCTGCCTGCTCCACACCATCTCCAACATACATGGCCCACCCCTTTGCACGTCGGCCAATCAAAATCCTCCAACTACACTAATGACACTTAATTCACTGTTTACACCATTTTCAGTAGATGGGCTCATTCACTGCTATACATTTCTTAGAAAAAATGTAAACTGACAGACAGACCGATAGATTTGCCATTTATTTATGGTCAAACATGCAGCCAAGATCCTGTCTGTTCTACACTGGTAATGACATAACCAGGCAATTTTATTGGACAATGTTAATTTTGCCCAGAGTGGTTTTGTCTTCACTGCTCTAGCTTTCAAAAAGCAGAGGTGGTTAAGTAGTTGTTTCCAAAGTAAATCTTAAGAATTCAAAATTACTTTATTTACCAGAAGCTTTTATCCAAACCGACATAGAACTGAAGTCAATCCCCGACAGTATCCCCACAGCTATTGGTGGTTTAGTGCTCAGGAGCCTGACGATGAAATCCATCTGCCGACTGGGATTTGGAACCAGCAACCTTCCGGTCACAGGCAGAGTACACTTGCCCAGTGAGCCACACCTCTCCTGCATAAATGCTGGACTTCCTCTAGATGGTCACTTCATATACGCTCACTGGTGCCCAGCTTCAAACACACCTTAAATTAAACAGTGCAATACCTGTAGTTACCTGGAACATAGACGGGAGAAAACATCCGCAGGTTCTACCAAGATCTCTGGATCACTGGATTTAAAGTCCAGAGCGATAACTGCTACACCACAGAGCCTAACCCAGATAATAAACAGTCACATATGCAAACACACATACGCACATGAATTTATTCCATCTGAGTTTTTCCAAATAGGAACTCAATCTAAGTTTAACTTAATAAATTATTAAGTAATATGACATACAAATTATATGTCTGAGCAAGACTGAGAGACATACAGCCATAATTCTATGGTATAAAAGATAACAGCATCTTCAAAGATATGGTTTATTGGATTGATTCTTAAAGAAAAACATGTAGATAGGGACCAGATCAGCTACACCTCCAAAGGTTTAGCACAAAGGGAGTAAGTGCCTTTGTGTGTGTGTAGTGAGAGGGAAGAACTCAGTTCAGGGGCAGGGGAGAAACCACAGGGGCCCCGTGGGCTGCAGTGACCCATAAACCGACCTGCATGTCGCCGAATGTCTCAGCAAAGCCCTGCTTCCAAACTCACCCGGCATCCGCTCGTTAGCGTGTCACATGATGCACGACACGGCACAGCACAGCACAGCACAGCACAGCACAGCACAGCACAGCACAGCACAGCACAGCACAGCCCAGCACAGCCCAGCACAGCACAGTCTCCCCAGCCACCCCCAACAACCAGTTACCTTGAACTGGCAAGATACGTTTATTTATACAGCATATTTTCAAGCACAGAGGTTATTCAAAGTGCTTTAAAAAAAATAAGATCAGATAAAGGCAATCATTAAATGTAGAATTTAAAAAACCATGACAATAAAAAAAAAAAAACAGTAATTAAAAATTATAAATAAAACACCGAGTAAAAGTAAAAAAAATTTAAAGTAAAGGAAAAAGCATCAACATTGATGCTAATCAAAGGATGTTTTGAATAAAAATGTTTTGAGCCTGGTTTTAAAGGTGGCAACACCTGACGCATTTCGAACCTCTTCAGGGCGTCAGTTCCAGTTATGAGCGGCAGAGACGCTGAATTTCAATTGGCCTTTGCTTACTTTACGATATGCACCATTCGTTTGAGAAAACAGGATGTGGTTTTCACAATGTCAACGAATCTGCAATAATGCAATATAAAAAAAACCTCACCTTCTTATCAATACAACCGGCGCTCATTTAGCGATTACCTCAGTTAGCGACCCTTTGAACACACAGCGGCAAAAAATTATTTTCCGACCGAGGCGCGCATTTACGACCAAATTTCGTTCGCCTGATGACGATGCATGCCGGAGTGGGAGAGCTCATTGAAAAAGAATGTAGAAAATGATGTTAAAAATGTCCCCTTAATGAAAGATAAACAAAACTGAGTAGGGAATGTTGAAGTAAAGTTGTAAGCACTGTAGTGATCACACCTAGGCTACCGTGATTTTCACTTCATGACCATTTCGCTTAACGGAGCTTAGTAGCTAAACGAGGAGCGGTTGTATATCTAATTTTTTTTAGCAGCCAATCTAATCTTAGGCATCGTAATGATGAATCACAGACACAGAGATGTTTCTTCATGTCCCAGAGCAGTGTGGAAGCAGGTGAGAGAGCATGCTGTACCTGTGATGTTTGATGCGCCCAGTTCAGCGAAAGACAGGACGATGGATGTGGGGGTGACCTCCCCCGCAGCAACACACTTCTTGCGGGTCAGGTAATACTTTCCAGGGTGCCCCACAAACTTGATCCCTTTGGGCACAGATACCTTGACATAGACCTGCAGAATGGAGTTGTGGATTCAAAAGATGGTCACTATGATAGAAAATGGAAATATGGATGGATGGATGGATGGATGGATGGATGGAGATGCTAGAGTATCACCATAATGACCTACAAAAATATATTTTCTTGTAATAGTAGATATAATAGCATATAAAATCCCAACTGCTGACTTGGTGGTCAGACCACAGTAGGCTGTGAAGGACATGCATCATCAGTAGAGACTAATGCAGCAGTATTACATTACATGTACATTTACCCACGCAAAACAGAAGCAAGGACCAAACATTATTCAGCCAATTTTAAAAATGAGAAGCCCTTCACCATTACGGGTTTATTTAATAGAGATTACTACTGACATAAAGTGTGGAAACTATGAGTTGGACTAATGAGTGAAGGCCAGATTCTTCACTTTTCATTAAGACCTAGGGATAATTTATTTAACAGTATCGGAGAATACTGTATGTACTGCGATGTTTGTACAATAATATTCAATAATGGACTGTCTGAGGGTACAGAATAGAACTCTCATAAGTTGTTTTACAGGATATGACAGAATTCAAACACAGCATGTCATTATCATGTTTATATAGTATGTAAAATCTGAAAGCTACACTCCACAGTCCAGCAGCTACACTGTGTTATCGTGATGAACATGCACACATTACATCTTTCAAAATCAGTAATGCAGAAAGCAGTTTGTTCTATTTTACTGGCAAATACTTGAAATGAATGGACGTTGAAGCAGGCTACACTTGACCGTTCTCTACTAAAAGGTTCTGGCCAACAAAAGATGTTTTAAAAAGAACGTATGAAAATCATTTCACAAGCAAGCGTTGATGTGACACACTGACCCCTTAAAGTAAAACGTATAGTTATGTCAGTGGCTTTAACTCTTTCTCCACTGCCTTTCTCCCTCTCTGGCACCTTGACTCACTCTCTCCCTCACCTCTGCACAGGAGGGCAGGTAGTTATAGACTGTAAGGGGCACTTTGGTCTGCTCCCCGCGGATGACGCTGTACGGCAGAGTGAAGTCCACAAAGAATGGCTTAAATGTACGCAGCTCCGCCCTCTGGGCCAGGCCCAACCCCTTTTCCTCTGACAAGCCAATCGCCTCGGTCACCCAGGTAGTAATGGAATCGGGAACGTCCAATTGCAGCTCAGCTTCTCCAGTTACATTGCTGCAACAATAAAAAATACAGATAATGTTAATGGTTCCTATTACACTTGCTTTATTAATCTTCGGGGGTGAGCCCTTCCGTAGCGCCAGGGTTTTCCCAAAAAAGCCTCATTCAATAAGCATTTACTGAAAGTTAATGCATGAATGAAAGTATAAAAATGACCTCTTGAAACTTATTAAATTTTATCCTTTATCCCAAGCTGACCATAAATTTACAAACAGAACTGAAACTCAACTGAAAGTTAGTGACTGATGCATCCAAAATGTACATTAAGGCATATTTCAGTTCAGTGTTAATCTCAATATAAAAGTCCCGGGTTTTGGCGTAATAAATTACTTCAATTAATTGTTACCAGAAATACCCTTGTGTGTCGTTTTAGCTAAATTAATTTTAAATAGATATCTAACCAAAAGAGCTGGGGATGGCACTCGTCTGTTTTTGTGTCGTTCATTCTCAGCCTCAAATCTCATAAAGGTCACTCCTTCTTCGCCCTTAAAATGTGTTTGTCCCCTTTCAAAGTCTGTCCCTTCCCTCATCCTCCCATTTCCTCTCCTTGTCTCTCTTTCAACCTCCTCTGAGTTTTGGCTCCACTTCCAGATCTGGTTTTACCCGCACAATCTGCTGTAGCTGCCCCCCCCCCGCCCCCCCACTACAGATTGACCTCCACTATCCGCCCCCCACCTCAAGCCTACGGCTGCTCTGCTGGGACCGCAGCAAAAAAACAGTAATAATGTTTTTATTCTCACACATGGGAGCACTTCGGCCCCTGGGTAGATGCCATGGGGTGGGATGGCAGTAAGCGTTTGTATACAGCACCATCTTCAAAACAAACTGGCCCAAGCAAACAAAACAAACATGCATTTTCAGAATGCCACTAAAAGTATAAAAATACTAACTGTGCAAACTGAAGAGCAAATCTCCGAAATGTACTCCGTCCATGTGATACATTTTCGGGAAAATATCTGTCGGACGTACTGAATTTTGGAAATTTGACTAAAGATCTTCATTGGATTACATGAGGACTGAGTGAGGTTTGGTTCCCAATACTGCAACATATAATGAGCTATTGAGTAAGTGGGTTATATATAATGAGCGACTGAGTGGAAATCGAGTACATTGTCCCGTAATGAACTTCAGCGTTTCCGAATGTGTCGCAGTGACGTAGATATTTGTTCTTTGATGTTATTATTTCCGATACACCGTTGAAGTCAGTTAACGAGCGTTTGAGGCTTTGCTGTGGGACGAGATGGAAGAATGAGGCACCTGATGTTGAGGCAGATCCATACCCACGTCTCCGGGAAAAACGTGCGCCTGCGTTTCTCTGCCCTGCGAACAAAAAAAAAAACAGTCTGACACAAGCTGAGAAGCACCAAATTACATTATGGTCTTTGTGACAAGACAAATACGAAGGCGAAGGCATAACAACCCTGGGGGGGCGGGGGGTGTAGGGGGGATATGTACCTGTATGGGATACTATTTAGAATACAAGCTGTATGATTTGCTGATTGGGTCTAATGATTTTTATAGTGAGAGAATGAAGACCTAGACCAGGGAAGGTATGCTGGCTGCTGTACAGATGCTGTCCGCTGATCTGTTAGCTACTTAGCTGCTAGTCAGCATGTGATTCCCTTTGCATAGAAACATCAGTGCTGGTGGAAGTCAGAGGGGCACGTTCTCCCCTAACTGCCCCGGAGTAACTGAAATGATCACATCTGAGGAAAAAATACACAGATGTATTATGCTAAACGATAATTCAGTGTTATAACATTGTAGAAAATGACAGATGTCACATTAAACTGATAGGGTGGTTAATCAATCTGTCGTCTTGTTGTTTTGGGCTAGAGGACAGAAAGATATAAATTATAGTGCAATTTCTGGAGTATTCTGTTTACATAGTTACCGAACCAAATATTGTTATAGCGATGGAGTGTTTAAGTTCAACACGCCAGCTTTGATTTAACTGCGGGACTGAGGGAAGCGTGTTGGGCGCGTGTGGGAGCCAGCAGACGGCGGCGGGGAACCTGGGCACGGCGCGGGGGGGCAGCGAGGCCACCAGCGTGGCCGTATGGGGCTGGAAGGCTGGCACGGCTTCATCGGTGTACATGCCCCCGCTCTGCCGGTGATTGAGGCTCACCAAGTCAGTCATCACTACCAGGCCGGCTTCCTGTGGCGGCGGTCAGGAGAGAAATCTCTGTCATCGTAAAGGAAGGCGCCCGGGTTTACTTTACATTGACAGCTTATACCTTGAAGAAAAAAAAAGGCAATCCAATATCATGATTATATAAAATAATAAAAAATCCATCCATCCATTCATCTTTCAACTGTGTATCCAGTACAGGGTCAAGGGGGGGGGCCTGCAGCCTATCTCAGGCAGCATCAGGGCAAAAGGCTGAGGATCACCCCTAAAGGGACGCATGTCCATCACAAGGGACACAAACATATTTACATACATAATTACACATTGTGAATAAGGTGGAGGAATCTGAAGCACCTGGAGGAAATCTGCACAAATGTGACATCATATTAACAGAGAGATGGTTGATAGTTGCCCATCAGAATGTGATTTTTGGTTAAGGTTACATCTTGGCCCGGTTTCCACTTTCTTTGGCAGCATTATTTGTTAACCTCTCTGCTCCTCAGCAGGATCTCGCACCTTCTGCTCAGCTGGGATCGTGAACTCCGGCGGAGAGTCTGGAATGTCGGCGTGCACAAGACGATGTCGAGGCTCTTTTTGAGCGGCCGCCTTTCATGCGTGCAGATATTTTCAAAAATCCATGTGCGTCTCTCGCGTGTCTTCGTTGTTACGGAATTTATTTGTATTTGACAAATGGCTAAATGTACAAAAGAGCATTCTTCCTCACTGCCACACATATGGCTAACAGACACATGAACTTAAGAACGATGGTCAACAGTTATCCCAGACGATGGAGTCTGCAGGGATAGAAGACCTTTCAGACATAAATGATCATAACGACCATGATTGCTTGTCAAGAAATTGTTATGATGGTTCATGGGCTTCAAACGAAAATAGCAGCACAGCACAATCAACCTCCAGAACATGTAAGACAAAAGATCTGAACACAGAATCTTCCACTTTACTATAAAAAGACTGCAGACTGTCAAATCCCTATGCAATCAAAAAGGAGCTTACGTAGATCAACAAAGAAACCGGCATATAGTATTAGCTATCAGCTCATTGTACAAAGCAAAAAGAGAAGACAATTTATGGAGTGTAGAGATCGGAAGAGAAGCTTTCCCAGCAGCGATGCCACTGAAATAGTTCCATATTTTCTCTGCATTGATTCATTTTGAAAACTGTGGGCACACATGCTGACCGTGAAAGAGACGAGCTGACTGTAATTACAGAGGACACCAAAAAACAAGTGAGGATCCACGACCTCATGCCCAGTCCCCATAGAGACGAAGAGGTTGAACACCACGCTCCATTAAAAGGAAGCTTTCCATCTGCCAGCATCCAACAAATCCATGGCCAAAATGCGGCATCGAAATTTATTATGTGATTTAGCCGAGTCTAGTTATTCGGGGGAATATGCTGCTCTGTACAGAATAACCACCATACCGAGCACCTGAGAAGATCAAGGAAGTTTAGGTGGTTCTGAGCATATGATGTATGATGTGCAGAATGAAGTACTTATGACACATGTATCACAATTGCAGGTTCAAATCCCAGAATGGACTGTGTCGTTATAACGTTAATTACCTCAAAACACCTGCAGCTGTATTAACGTACATAAATTTAGATGGGGTAAATGCAGCAGTTAGGCCAACTATTAATGCAGACAAACAGATTAGCTTTCTTCAAAAGTGCTACAATTATGCTTCACCTCACCAGAAAAATGAAGGATGTCTTCGTTACAAACCTTAAGCACAAATATGGTCAAGAAAGCTGCAAATTATTCTATACTACAATTCTAAGGAAGCAAGGGTCGACATCCAGGATGACATGATGTGATGCACGGCTAATGGCAAAAGCTAAGTACCCACACAGGAGACTCACACCCAGGAACTAATGCTTACAGCCCATTCACTCACGTAAGACAGGAGCAAAATGATGGAAAATTGCATCAACTTCACATGTTCCTTTAGAAGCTTGGCAAGGTTGCGGTTGCTGCTCGAAATTGCTAGCAAGAGTGACTAAGAATGTTTACTGGTAGTCTCAAGTAATTCTAAGCCTGATTGTTTTGCTCGCTGGAAGTTAACTGGCTATTACGATGACTATGATTACAATTATGTGTTTATCAGATTTGTAAATTCATATTTAAATTAAATACAAATCTATTTGTCTTTTATAATCCTTGGTTAAATAAGGAATTTGCCCAAGATTACTGATATTCTATCCACGATCTGTTTTTTTGTGAGTTACACAGTCTTTGGTGAAAGAGCCTGGAAGGCAAAAGGCAGTTTGTCACACGGAGGGAACGACAATGGCTATTGCTGATGGGTTATTTTGCTCATCAGAACATTGGCTTTGAAAGGAGGATTATATGCGATGATGAGCCGCTGTTGGAATTTAAACAAGTTTGACGTCAGAAGTAACAGAGATGACAGACAGTCCATCTGGCTAAGCGGCAGCTTCATAATGGATGGACTGCAAGAACAGACTCACCGTGAAGGCAAAGCGGGCATCTTTGGTGATGTCCCAGTGCCAGGGGAACACTGACGAGCGCCTCTTTCGACGCGATGACAGTCCTGGCCACCAAAAGTGTCCGTCGTCCTTGGGTGCTCCAAAGGCATCAGACACGTCAAATTCAACAAGCTCCCTGAACACCTAAAAAGAGCAGGTCATGCACTGAGAAGATACATCACTGAACCTAGATAACCACTAAAATCCACCCGAATAGAAAGGTGGTTTCAGTGAGGCCTTCTGAAGGACCTACCTTGTCTATGCTGAGCTGGAAGCCAGGTTTGACGAGATAGAGACTCTTGTCCACAGCGGCCACGCAGACACAGGATCCCTTCTCACCTTTGACCCGCAGACTGACAGGTTCACCTGGCATCGACTCGTTGGTAGAAAGAGAGACAGACACCTGCACGAAGGCAGACATTTCAGCTCACATTACTACGGCTTTGCCAGGTACAAGACTGGGACTCCTTCTGGTACTTGAATCCAGAATTTTCTTTGCTATGTGTCCACATTTTAACTGCTACCTGCAGCCCCATATTCCCATACACATAAATAAACATGAAATACCGGTGTGTAGTTTGAAATACAATCAAAGAAGACATGGAAAGTGAAGACATGGAAAGTTCACATTTACAGCTATAAAAATGAACATCTGGGTGAGGAAGCTCTTCCTTGTCAAACTACTTTTTGGGGGCAGCGTTTGGCTCATCGGGTTGGGATGCTATGCTGCTGTAACTGGAAGGTCAATGGGTCAAATCCTGACGCTGATACGGTGATTTTACCATTGGACCCTAAACAAAGACCTTAACCCCTAATTGCACCAAAGACTGTCTAACCATGCCGGCTCCAGAAAAAATGTACAATGCTCTAGATAAAAGTGTCAGAAAAATAAATGAAATGCTACAATTTTGTTTTCTTTAATTACTCCGTGCTTTTTCCTTTCCACATAATCAGTACGGAGCTGAGTAAGGTAACACAGAACCATCCATCCTTCTTCAAATCACTTGGTCAGGGGCGCAGAGGGGGTTGGACCCTGTCCCAGGAAGCACAGGGTACACGGCTGGGGTTTTATCTGGGCCGGATGCCAGTCCATCGCGGGGCACACAGTCACACACTACGGGCAATTAAGAAAGACCCATTGCCTAACTGCATGTTTTTGGACCGAGTGAGGAAATCGGAGGATCTAGAGGAAAAGTGTGTATCACAGGGAGAACATGCACCCTCCATACAGAGAGCAAAAGTGGGATTTGAACCACCCACCCTTAAGGTACGAGGTCACAGCGCTACCCACTGAGCCACCATGACAGCCTGAAACATACAACCGTTCTTTAAAATTAAAATTACAGTAGAAATGATTCAACCTGATTCTCGAAGCTGGGCTGCACGGGAATCTGCAGGCTGTCGGTCACTCCCTCCCCGTTCTCCCGCACGTAGTACACCAGTAAGCGACTGAGCGGCGTCATACTGGGAGTGACAGCGAAGGCCAGAGCGGAAACGCAAACGTCTGCCTCACTGTGTGCCGAAGAGGCTGCAGAGGCTGAAAAAGGCCCAGAGGACGATAAAGTAGACAAGTATTACTGTTGAAAAAATGCCAGCAAATTCTGGCATCTAATGAGGCAAGACGTGTCTATACAATACAAGAGCAGTGATACCATATGCTATGCTGATAAGTTTGCATGCCACTGACTTTAAAAATTCAGCTTAGCCTTTTTTGCTCATTGTTAATTTAAGGCAAAACAACTACCAGCTAGCTAACGACGTTAACCATAATTTATTCCGACTTCTCTAATACTGACCAGAGCCACTAGGGGGCAACGTGGCGTGGATATTTTTGTCAAAGGTGACAGTTGCTCTCTTGGCACGGTGATTGGTGACATTCGCCAGCTGTTTACCAGACTGTACAATGTTTCCGCGTGAAGCTATCTCATAGTGCAGTGTGAAGTTACAGGGGCAGGTAGATTTCAGAGCAATCTCAGCCTCCTGACCAACCTAAATGCAAAAAACATTCAAATAAGACCTAAAGCAAACTGCATATCAAGACAGTTAGTGAATATCACACATATTAACTAAAAGACTCAGTAAGTTGTATGAGTTATATTGTTTGCCCAATTATTCTTCCACTAAATTAATATTTAAAAGTAACGACTTTTGCAAGGTACAAGATAGAGAAGGAATATAATGGTAGTAGTTAAAGAACCAGGAGAACATACCTGCAGAGGTCTACTGGGACTCTGTAGCTGGATGTGACACTTGCTGGGTGAATACCAGCTGCTGATTGACAAGTAATTAGGAAGGTACTGGTCTCCAGCTGGCCTGCCGCCAATCGCCGTGACCTTGGTCTGTAGCGGAAAGGAACAATCAAATAGCTGTGACACTAACTAACATCACATCTCCATCTGTCTCATGGATCCAAAGGAAGCTGTATTATGTAGATCCTTAGGAGGGAACTGGCCTCAACGTCAGCTATTACAACTCGAACCATGTTATACTGTGAGCTTCACATTAAAAAGGAAAGTTCACTCCTCAACTTTGTAGCTGACCATACTCAGTTTCCCACTAAGCTTTTTGGTGTGTTCCATGTGAACTTCCAAGTTCCTAGTGGGAAATTTCAACTGGAACGGCCCCTAAAGTCGGAGTTCTGACTCAGAAAGTCGGAGTAACCTCTGCAGCCCAGACCTCAGAATTCAAGATGGCTGCCTATATACTATTTAATTTTATTTGTGTCTCATTAAGTTCAATCTAACCGCTATCGGTGGACATGTTGCTACAGTGTTCGTATGCACAAAATACCCCGTAATGCATTGGTACAAACTGCTAACAATAGCTAACAATGAGCCTGTCTGGAACTGGTATCGCTAAATGGCTTTCCAACTTCTTGTACTGGAAAGCAGTTACTGTGACGCCATTCCCAGCTCCGACGTCCGAGGTAAATGGAATGAAGCGTTAGAGATATTAATAGGTAAAGAGCAGCCTGGGATGGTAGAATGTTCAGGGGAGTAAGAAGCCTCTTTGGATAGTTCTATAATGCTAAATTATTTAGACAAATTCTGGTGACTTAGTTGATAATCCCACCTTTCTACTCCATCCTAACACACATTCATAATGTCCTTCAAAACCCCCGCCGCACCCTGATACCCACTGACCTCCAACCAGACATACTGAGCGGCCGTAGGGATTGAGGGAATCTCGAAAACGGCCTGGCCCGATCTGGACGTCAGCTCGCTGGTGTACACGTTGTCCTTGGGCGTCAGCTCAGCCTTTACTCTCACCTTAACCCCGTCCGCCGGGCTCCCATCTGGGTAGGTCACCTCCACCTGGGTCACAAGGGGACCCGGGACGAGTGGAAAGGGAAGACCAATAGAGAAAGGGAACAAGTGACATCACCACAGCCTTACACACAGAGCTGTAAAAATCTCAGATTTTATCTTTACTTTTCATTCCCATATCGCACAATTAGCAAGCTCTGTTTAAGCAGAACAATCCTCTGTAGCACACGAATGAGGCTACAAATGCTACAAAGAGTTAAAGTTCTTCTACCTTGCCTTTGTAGGGTAGACCAGGTTTGAACTGCTTGCGCGTGTCCTTGGAGTACTTTATGTCGATCAGCTGCTTATGGACAGGTGTCGAGTCATGGACCATGGTCTGCCGTCCCCCATCCACACTGTTCACTGACGCCCATATGTTGACCGTGCCCCGGAAGTGGTCAGCCACGTCGACGGGCATCATTTCCCGTACGCAGAGGTCAAAGGTCACAGATCCTTTGATCTACGGACAGTAACAGGAGAGAGGGAGCAAATGTGCCGATCTATAAATCTATTAGTGCCTCAAAGTCAAATAAACTTTCAATACATGGGAACAGGGTAGATGTTTCTTCAGCTCACGTCCATGGTCTTCACCACTGGATGGCCCAGTTCATGACGGTAATATCCCACTCCGTTCACCGTCATGTTCACCGTCAGCTTGCCCACTACTGGTTTCCCAAATGTGTACCTGAGCAAGAGGAGGAGACAAACAGATATACATCCCAGTGCTAACATTTAAAATAATGTATAATACTCATTAGCCTGTTCAGTGTTCATAAGCATACATACCCTGTATGTATACTGAGTGTGTATACTCAGGCAACACAGGTCAACCAGCATTAAACGTCATTCACAGGACAGAGCCGTAACTGACCTGGCATGCACTGTCGCCTGTTCACATGCGTTCAGGTCACGGATGTATCGGGGCGGATCGATAATCAACTCAAACTTGGGCATCACTGTGAAAAAGAGTCATACATAACAATGCTGGCATGACTACACAGTCAACCGTGCATTTCGGGTCAACGTTCTCCTGTAGTTAATTTTTTTCTCGATCCATTTACAGTTATTTCAGAACTTCCTATGTGACTTCGAACCGGTTTCTGTGATATACCCAATCAGGGGTGCAGGAAGTGTGGGGGATGGGGGGCATCAACCCCGCAATATTTATTTTGGGTTCATTCATCCCCCCAATAAATACACCATTGAATTTAAATCATTAAGTTGTGTCCCCCCCCCCCCTCCCATGCCATCACTCCTGATGCTTTACATAAGCTTAAAAAAAAAGTTCTGGTTTGTCCATTTGATTGTTTGTTTTTCTAACACATGGCTGGGAGACGGGATTTCATGTGCAGCATCCTGTTCACTTAGTTTGCCACAGGACCAGGTCATGGGCTCACCATACTTCTGCACCTCAAAGGACTTGTTGTAAGTGTGTCCCTGCATCTCCACGAAGATGAGCCACTCGCCAAACACCGGCTGGTCCGACAGGGGGAAACTCACATTCACGATTCCTGGGGGGCACAGAGAGGACTCGGCTCATTTAGAAGTGGGAAGTCTGCGAGGCCCAAATTAACACACTCTTACCAAATGATGAACACCTTGCTACTCAATCTCCAAGCAGAGCACAGAGCGCGAATTGCTTTAATGAATGTTAAGCTGAATTAATGTTAGGTTGAGCTTATTAAGCTGCACGACAATAATGCATACAACTGTCTTTAGATAAGAGCAAGAATGAACAAGTTAATTTAAAATCTTTAACTAGTAATTTTTATTACCACAACACAAAGGTTTGGGGTCTGTCCACTGAATCATCCGGGATCCTCGCGGGTCCTAAAAACAACACGAATTGTAAATGTTAAGTCCTAAGTTTCAAAACAGATATATCCCCCTTTTTGCCATCTTTCCAGGTAAATTACATCCTTGATGTTTCAGGCTGACCATGTGATTTACTTTCAACCACACAATGTGCACTTTCAGCTGCTGACCTATGACCTACGTCTGACCTCATACAGACAGAAGGAGGGAAACTAACATCGTCACAGCAGTCAGTCAAACAATTAGGCGCACTTAAGCAGATGCTTTCCTACTTGGAACAGTGGGGGCAAGGCTGTGGGCCTCACACTAATATACATTTCTGAGAAGCTATTTAAGCAATTTACACGGCTTTCCCGGGCTTTCTCGATTCTATGTGTGAACTGGTACACTGGTATGAGTCAACAGTTTCAGACAGTGTTTCCCAATCCAGTCCTCGGGGACTGGATTGGGAGCTGGGAGGGAGCAAAAATGTGGACTATCTGGCATGGAACTCAGCGGGAGCAAAAACATGGATTGACTGTGGGTCCCTGAGGACCGGATTAGGAAACGCTGCTTTAAGAGCCGCAGAGCAAACTGAAGCCAGGAGAGTGTACGCAGCGGGAGAGGACGGCCGGCACAGGGCGATCCCTTCATTTCCTGGTGGATGGTGTGTATCCTGGTATTGAAGCAACTGGCCGCATAATCTCCAGCCGCTGCCGGGTGGCGGGGAACCAAACCCGCCCCCCCCCCCGTCACTCAGGGTGGTCCCCGTGACCTCCACTCACCACAACGTAAGCGTCCATCTGTGAAAGAGGGGAGGGGTGACAGGGCGGAGGAGAGGGGAGCCCAAAAAAGGGGGCAAACATCAGAAACACAGAGAGGCGCCGCGGACCCGAGCCGCTGTCCCACAATGGGCCGTCTGTGAGCGGCGGCACAGCACTGAGCCAGCGGGGAGTCTTTATGACCCCCCCATCAATAAGCACACTGTCTCCTGGACCATCTCCACTCCCTGCAGTCACACAGGGTGCTTAGAGCTCTCCGCAGAAGCCCAGCAGAACGGAGCCTCTGGCTTTCCTGCGCAAGATTAATTAAACTCCCACACTGCCCATCGCCTCCCCGACCCCCCACCCATACAAGATGAGGTTGTGCCTCTTGCAAATAAACTATCTGGCATAATTGGCGTGACACCCTGCTTCACAAAGAGCTTCACAGCACCTACACGTGATAACTTACCCATAGCATTAATGCTTGTTTAGTCTACAAGTCAGCACACACTCCTACAGCAGTAATATTTTAAATCCCCAGACAAACAGCCACACTCCGCACCAGGCCTTATAAGAGGCAGAATGTGTATTACCTTGTCATTCGCTGGCCTCAGGTCTGGCATGACTGAATACACATTAATAAGCACTGGAGAGAAAGAGAAAAAGACACAGTTACCCATAAGGCCTTGAAAATTTGTAATGTTTTGTTGTCCGCTGGTGAAAAAAAAAAGCTGAAGCTTGGTGAAATGTTGTAGTGAAGCTGTGAAATGTCCAGCGTGAGTCCGGACGAGCACGCCAGGCTGAGACCTTTCTGCCGGGGTCTGTACACCGGCTTGTCCGTCTGGATGAAGACGGCTGTGCCTTTGCTGTCCACCGTTACGGTGGTGTAATTCTGAAAGATGTAGCCCTCCTCCGTCAGCTGCCGGTTGCCCCACACCTTCAGGTGGGCCTGTCCACGCAGCCCGGGGGGCACCTGATCAAGGCAGAGCGGACGAAAGCAGTATCACCTCTCTGTTTCACTAATCACTGTCCTACATCAGTGACTTCCAACCTGGTCCACAGAGACTCAAAGCCCACGTTTTGGCTCCTACCAGGACTGGGAAGAAGCAAAAAGATGGACAGTAAGGGAATCCTGAAGACTGGCTGGGGAAACAGGTTTTAAAGGAGTGGGGAAAAAATATACCTTTGCATCAATGTATTCTGACTATTTAAAGCCGCCTGCTTGCTTGAATGAGGTCTTGTCACTTCTATTGTGTCACAACAACACAGGAGAACCCATTTATTTCACGATTCAAATGCTTAGTTGCATTTCTGCTGTGCCATAATGAAATTATTATTTTGAATATGTTATCTTTCACTGTCATACAAGTGATTCACAAACAAACTAGACTTTACTAGACTTAGGTATAATACATTTGAAAGGAACATCACACAATATGGGAAATATAAAACTCACCTTCAATTTGATTGTGCCTTTGTCTAAAGAAAAATATACAAAAGTAGATTAACTGCTCAGGTACAAGATATGACTGGAATTTGGAAAAGCTGATTCCTTTGGTAACCTTAAAAAGGCTGTATAATAAAGACTAGATTAAAGTAAGAAATATGCATCATTCTTCAAAGTTTCTGGATGATTAATGGCCATCTATGCTCGTTCAATGCCATACTGAGGCAGAACAAGCTTTAACTACCATTGCTCAAGTCAAACAGAGACACATGAGAGCCAAGATAGGCATACCAGCATTTGCAGTGCACCTTAATATAGCGAGTAATATCGGGCCAAACCCTTGAGCTTAACCTGGTTTTAATCAAAGGGAGCAGAGCCAAGAATTGGACTCACCGCGCACGGTGCCATGGCTGTGGGCCACGGCCTCGCCTTTCACGGACAACTGCACCTGCACATGCGTGTCCGCCACGGCGTTGAAGATGGTAACGCTCAGAGCTTCCTCCACACCCGCACGGAACACAGAGGGAGCAGCGATCAGATACCCCCTGGGAAGAATGAGACGGTGTTGAGTTAGTGTTAGGGTGTAACCTGAAGTCCAATGAGATGGTCCTGATAGAAGAGAATTGATTAAGTGGATGTCTCACACCCCACTGCATGTTTATTGGTCACACAGAAACATTGTAGCACAGTGGCACGGAGGGGGGGGGGCTAACGTATCACAACTCCAGGGTCGATTGCCTCAGCCTACACATGCGGTTAGTCTGGCGGGGTGTGCGTACGAGCGTGTGTCCTGCACTGCACTGACAGCTCATCCTGCATGCCCCCTGCTCTGTCTCCTCACACACACCCCCCTGCTCTGTGTCCTCACACACGTCCCCCTGCTCTGTGTCCTCACACACGTCCCCCTGCTCTGTGTCCTCACACACGTCCCCCTGCTCTGTGTCCTCACACACGCCCCCTTGTTTTTTTTCTTCCACACGCCCCCCTGCTCTGTGTCCTCACACACGTCCCCCTGCTCTGTGTCCTCACACACGCCCCCCTGCTCTGTGTCCTCACACACGTCCCCTGCT